GTAAAAACCTAACTGCGACTGCCAACCCTCCTGCCAAACGTGGCAACTACTGGCAAAACTCCCCTTATAGGGAAGGCATGTTTTTTTTTAATGGATGATAATGGAATGGTAACCCCACCCGCGCTATCGGTATACACCGGCGGGGCACCAGTGAAGGATGATAGGTGAGTATGAAGCAGGTCAGTTAGCCCATCGTGATGAATTCAACAAGAATTGTTCACGATGGTTTCCAGGGGGAACCACGTGGAGGTCGACCTAATAAGGAATATTGCTAGCAATGGGGCTATCAAAGTCCATTGCTAACAATCCCTTTCCCCCCTAAGGAAGGCTTACGTTCAACAGTTAACAGCTGAAATAATAATAAACCAGTTCAGATAATATAACGATGAAACTCATAAAATCCTAAAGAGTACAGGTCCAAAATACCGACAACTGTGGTGGATGTGGACAAGATTGCACCTTTCGGTTGCAGTGTGCAGTGTGCAGTGTGCAATGTGCAGTATCAGCTATCGATACTTCCACTTAGTAATTATTATTGAACAGGTCGTGTTCATTGCATACTCACGTGATAAACAGTCCTGTAATACCATTAATCTAGATATTGCGTCTGGCCAGGGTTGCCCGTTATTAACAATATCATTTAAATATACTCTATGGTTTAATACAACAAACCATAGTACTTCCATATCATCGTCATCTTTCTACCCTTATCCCAATTATTTGGGGTCGGCGTAATATGATTTTATCCATATTACAAAAAGATTTGGTTTTTAGTTTTACGACCGGCCACCTGCCTGACGTCAACCCTCTTTGGGAACTTCCATATAGTCCTGAATGAAGAATGTATGAAACGTCTAAATGTCCAAGGAGTGGTACAAGGCAAACGTTCTCTGGGTAGATCACTAACGCGATGGACTGACCTCATCAAAACGACCACACAGCAGTCTATTGTGGAACGCTCTCGCTCGTCTGTGAGCAGAAGTAGATGGAGACGCATTGCGAGGACCTCAGTCGCGAAGGAGGGCCTCGTCGACGATCCACTATCATTATTAGAACCACGACAACTCTGTCAAGAGTATACGACTGAAGGGAGATTGTTCAATAACAGATATAATCTATATAAAATAGTAATTAATTGCTAAATATGTTGCTAAGAGCAAAAAATAAAAGCCGGAAGGCATACTGGGAGAATATGGAGTATGGAATATGGAGTATCTAGCGTTAATCGTGCTATTAGGTGTGCTCTTTTATATCGCATCACAAGAATGAGCCAGCGACTGCCTTCCTACACGATAGACCGTCAGCGTTCGCGTACAATAAGATTTACAATTCTTGCATGAACCGTATCGTAATGTGTTTTCTTCGATCAAATGTCAGATTTCGACAACCTTCCCTTTTCGGTTGATCGCGTTCATGGACCATATTATCCCTGTGTCCGCTCAAGGTGCTTTGGTCACATGCCGTGCTCTCATAAAAAAAGTGGCTAAGTACTGATTGGCAGTCAGTAAATGATCAGTGAGAAATCTTACTAAACAATTGAAACTTCTTGTTTTTTGTTTAGTTTCAAGTAGCAGCCCTATATCGCCGCATCCGCTCGGTGCATCACGAACAAGCTATTACGGAGGAGCACCGCTGCTGCGCTGATCGTTTCGTGTACTAAGCGTTGCTTTGCTTTAATGAGCTTTTAAACAGTAACTGTGCCCTCTGTTGTTATTTATTATCTGTTATTTGAATGTGCTTTATATTTTATAATTTTAAACTGCTCCCATAAAGAAGTGGTGCTAAAGCTTGTTTTTGTTCCTGTTTACGTTAAGTGCTGTATTCTCAAGTTTTGAACATTTTTTTAATAGTTCTTTTTTCGATCGATAAAATACTTTTGTGTTGGTTCTAAATTCACTTCTGTTACTTTCTTTACTTCTGTTATGATTGAAATCACTGGTTTTTGCCGAGCAATTGTTATATGAGATATCTAAAATTTGAGAATAAAGATAAAAGAATCGGGGGTTTCTCTTAAGTTTAAACATAACTATGTTCTTTCTGTAAATATTTTTCAGTTTCATTTAGCTTATACATTTATATAAAAAAAAATATCATAAATGTAAGAGACTCGTAAAAAGTGTGGTGAGTATCAAAGCATAGTTTTGAAAATCTTAATTTATTAAAATTCCAAATATAATTTTCGATACCTATAGGATTTGTATTTCGAGTTCTTCTCTTAGATGACACCCTAGTACTGTACGGTGAAGAGTTCCCTTAATTGCTTCTTTCGATATTTTAAGGACGAAAAGAGTAGCTTACATAGTTCAGCAGATACTATAGTTTATTTTGACAGAGTTTAATGAAAAGGTAACCAAGTTTTAGTAAACTTATCAGAGGAACTGTCTCTGAAAGAAATTAAAACATTCAATCCAGAGGGAGACTTTGTACAAAAGTCGATTGCTTGGGTACCTCTGTCCCATTCGTGTTTCTGCCGTGAAGCAGTTGTGTTTGCATGGCTGTGTTTCGGTTTGAAGAGTGGGATATGGCGTGAATTTACTGGGTACAGAGGAATAACACCCGAGTCCTCAGGAATGGCAACGCATGGGGGGTATCATGAGCGAAACAGTATACTCTGTTATGTTCATAGTACCGCTCATGTCTATAGGCGACGGTTACCACTTTCCATCAGGTAGGCCGTCAGCTGTGTTTACCATTCTAAGATGTATAAAAAAAATCGATTCAACAAAATCAAAAAAATTTAATTAATTATATTGACTTGTACTACAATTGTACATTTATTTTAATGGATGATTATGGCCACCGCGCCTGCGCTAACGGTATGACACTGGCAGAGCACGAGAGAGGGATGAGGTGAGGATGAAGCAGGTCAGTTGGACTATCATGATTAATTTAACAAAAATAACAATAGTTTCCAGGGAAACCGCATGGAGATCGACCTGATAGGACATACTGCTAGCAATGGGATTGTTAATTCCCATTACTAACAACGGCTGTGTGGTCCCGGCATAGAATAGGCCACCCTTTCCTTTCCCGTGGGAGTCGTAAGAACCGACTAAGGGAGGACGAGGGATGGGCAGCAGTGTCCCTCTTAAAACATGATTAAAGCCTGATTGCGGTTGCCAATCCGTCTTCCAAGCGTAGCAACTACTGGCAAAACCCCCCCAAGGAGGAGGCTTATGTTCCGCAGTGGACAGTTAAAGTCTGATATGGTTACTATCAATCCCTTCTCCCCCTACTATTGGACGTTAGCAGATTGTCTTATGGTCGAGTTAGCTATTCGTTTGTTAATATTTTCATTAAGTTCCATTGTAAAGATTACACTGATCCACGCATGCGGTGGTGGACTGTGTTGCGATATTTATAGTGCCCGCAGGTGAATGCACCGCACGTATGTGGTTGCACACCATCATGGCACGAGTATTGCGAAGCGTTCCACATCTTAAATTAGATGAACTGGCCATACACGTGTTGCTCAATCATTTATTTAGCTAGCGATCCGCCCTAGCTTCGTTCGGGTGCAAATTATGTATACAAATAGAAAGATCTAGCTAGACGATAGTGAAATCCGTATCAAAATCTCTCCGCCTGGATTACACTAGTAATAGTATTTTTGTATTATTCAATATAATAGTAACAAACTTACAAGCATACTGCGTTATCTCTCTTATCTTATGACGTAACGATTTCATAAAAAAAATTTGGAAGATAAGATGAAAAGGAATGGAATTTTTTTTTTGAAACGAAAGAATAAATGAAACGAATTGTTACTGGCCAGTACTTGCAATTTTATTTGTGGCCAGTATATGAACATAATATACTACATCTCTATTCTTTTTAAAAAAGAAAAAATAATAATGAAATATAAATTTAAATTGATGTCATTGATTAATAATTGACATATCAAACATTTTCTATACACTAGCCTGCTATGAATTAAGAAAAATAGCAACTGATGGTGTATATTTTGTTCTCTTTTTACTAATTATATTTACATAAGAAGAAAGGAGGCAACCGTATGATTTACAGTTTTTATTTTATCATTCCTTCTATGTAATTCCTTGTTCTTAGCTCCACACGTTTCCAGGAAAAGCTATCGTGGTTATTTCCTTGTTACGATGTGTCAACACGAGTCTCATTGGTAACCTGCTAGCTAAAATACTATTGCATTTAATTATATTTAAAAAAACTTAAGGTTTATCGCCCATAACAATGAGGACGGACTATCCAGAACTCTTTGTTAATTATAAATTGATTGACGACTTAATTACCTCCGCAGCGTAGTGGTGGACACGTTGCTTTGCGTAAATAAGGTCTCAGGTTCGATTCCCAGTTAGGACAATTTATGAAACGTACTATTTTAAATTGGACTGGTTTTGGGTGTTCTGGGAGTGCCTCAACTCGAGGACCACATGCTTTATATGATTGTATGGCTCTTGTTATTATTAATAATTAAAAATAAAAATATATTTATGGCTAAATTTTTTTATACAACTTAGAATGGCAAACAAGCTGATGCCCCCCCTGATGGAAAGTAGTAACCGTCGCCTATAGACATGAGCAGTAATATGGGCATAACAGAGTATACTGTTTCGCCCATCATACCCCCCATGCGTTGCCATTCCTGAGGACTTGGGTATTATTCCTCTGTACCCAGTAAATTCACACCATATCCCACCCTTCAAACCGAAACACAGCCATGCAAACACAACTGCTTTACGGTTGAAACACGAATGGGACTCTGTCCCATTTGTGTTTCCGGAGGTACCCAAGCAAACGACTTTTGTACAAAGTCTGGTAGACTGGTAACTCTCTTTCTGGGCTCTGGTAAGTCAGGCTGAATTACATATTCGTATTGTTTTATAGCCATACAATAGCTATAATTATATGTACATACTATTGACGTCATAGTATTTATAAATTTATAATTATTGCTATTGTATCGTTTTATATATTATGGCCTTTAACAGTACTTGATTATTTCAACTTATTGGATAGTGATGTACGAGGTCTGTCCGGAAAGTTCGTATAAAAGTGTTCTGGAATGCGAGAAAGAGGAGTGGGGAGGCCAGGTAAGCGCAGGACCCCTTCCTTATGTCCCTAACAATGCTTCAGTTCTGGTCTGACCGCCGTGCGGTGCGAACTGGCTTATCACGCCATCTGTGAAGTTACCTCTTAACGAAACCCCGTCGGCATGGAGCCCGCTTCCGTTGAAGAGCAGCGCGTCGTAATCAAGTTTCTCTCGAAACTCGGCAAGAATGGCCGTGAAATTTTTGCCGATCTCAGAACAGTTTATGGGGATGATGCTGTGAAGGAACCAACCGTCCACAAGTGGCTAAAAAGATTCAGAGAGGGCCGAGAAAGCGTTCAAGATGACCCACGTTCAGGACGTCCTTCCACTTCACATTCCGACGAAAACGTGGAAAGAATTCGAACTTGTGTTAATGGGGACCGTCGTTTAACGGTCAGACAGGTGGCTGAAGAGCTTAATTTGGGCAAAACCGTGGTCCACGAAATTCTAAGAAACGAACTTCAAATGAAAAAAATTTGCGCCAAGATCGTTCCGTGAGTTTTTGAGTAAAAATTCCATTACGGTGACCGAACACCCCCCCTATTCGCCGGATTTGGCCCCGTGTGACTTCTTCTTGTTCCCAAAAACCAAATTGGTACTTCGGGGGCGGCATTTGGGGGACATAAATGAGATAAAAAAAGCTACGACGGGGCAGCTGAGAAACCTACAACCAGAGGACTTTCAAGGAGCCTTCTCACAGTGGAAACGGCGTTGGCACAAGTGCATTATGTCACAGGGGGAGTACTTTGAAGGGGATAAAATTGATTTACCTGAATAATTGTAAAATAAAATTTTTAAAAAACTTTTATACGTACTTTCCGGACAAACCTCGTATTATTTCATAATGGATTATCCATTATGAAATTATAATGGTATTGCAGACGTCCATAGGCTACAGTGTGACGTTTACCATCAGACGGGCTGTATGCTTGTTTGAATTTGCCGTCTTGCTTTTGTTGTTAAAAAAAAAGTTGAAAAAGTCGACATTTGTCAATGTACCTTTGCTGTTAAAAATATAGTACATTGATTTTTTTTTAATTGAATATTTGTTATTTTTTATTATTTTATTATCAGCTTCTTCGATTCTGGCTACAACAGAATATCAGTGTTTTACTCTTTTGAGGGCAAAGCAATAAATTGAGTTGTGACCATTTTGTGTTACTGTGGTACAAGTAAGAGGAAGTAGATGGAGACGCGTTGCGAGGGCCTCATCGACGATCCACTATGATCATAAAAACCACTTTTTTTTTATTACTTTTTCTAACTTAATTTCTTGTAAATCTACAGTATATATATAATAAGCGTTTCAATTTGAAGTCTTCAAGAATGGCAACGTATGAAGAGTTTTTTTTATGGATGAAAATGGAATGGTAACCCCGCCTGCGCTATTGGAATATGCTGACGGGGCACCAGTGAGGGATGATTGGTGAAGATGAAAAGGCATGTCAGTAAGCCCATCGTGACGAATTCAACGATAAATCAGTCATGATGGTTTCCAGGGGGAGCCCCGTGGAGGTCGACCTGATAGATCCCTTCCCTCCTACCACGTGGAGATTAGGTTCTTAGAGTGGCTATTAGGTTGATGGAGTGTATTGCTGGTTATGTTGGACCTCGGTAGTAATAATTCCTTCCCTCTCCCCCTCCCCCATGTATGAAGGATATTATGGGCATCACAAAGTATTTTGTAGTCCATGGTGTTGGTCATAGTAATATTTAGTGCTTATCATCAGGTGGGCCGTTATCTTATTTGCCAATCTATATTTATTGAAAAAAAAAATAATAAAAGTATTTGGCATTTTATTGTGTCTGCCTACCCTTATAGGAGACAGATGTGATGTATATATTAATGATTATAGAGTCAAGCTCTACGAACGTCATCAATCATTACTGATTAAAAGAAATCAATAAATAACATGAAGTCGCCTGTACACAAGTAATTATCAATCTTGCTTATCAATTCTTTTTTTTTTCAGGTAAGCTCTTCCTCCCCCGTTGGAGCGTTGGCTAATTAATTCGGAGCGGTCCATGCCGGCGGAACCCTAATTTATGCGCGGACACGAACCCCAGTGCTGTCACCTCGGGATACGTCAACTATCCTGTGTACGTATGTCTACGTATTATAAATTAAATTACACGGCAAAGAACATTTGTTTTTACGTTTGTTTGCATATTTTGTTTAATTCACCAGTGAGAGACATTGGGGTCGACCCTGAAGTGTCACTTTTCTAAACCTCTATTTTCTCTAACAATCAATTTTTTTTTAATTTATGATAACGGAATGGTAACCCCTGCCTACGTTAACGGTATACGCTGGTGAGGCACCAGTGAGGGATGATAGGTGAGGATGAAAAGGCAGGTCAGTTAGCCCATCGTGATGAATACACCTGAAATTCAGTACGATGGTTTCCAGGGGGAATTACGTGGAGGTCCCCTGACAGGGTATATTGCTAGCAATGAGACTGGTAATTCGCATTATTAACAATCCCCCCCCCCCCCACCTATCTTTATTAAACACTGCTATCGTAGCGAAATCTATATTGGAAGAACCGATTTTTTTTTACACAACTTAGAATGGCAAACAAGCTAACGGCCCACCTGATGGAAAGTGGTAACTATTGCCTATAGACATGAGCAGTACCATGGACATAACAGAGTATACTGTTTCGCCCATGATACCCCCCATGCGTTGCCAATCCTGAGGACTCAGGTATTATTCCTCTGTACCCAGTAAATTCACGCCACATCCCACCCTTTAAACCGAAACATAGCCATGCAAACACAGCTGCTTCACGGTTGAAACACGAATGGGACAGAGGTACCCAAGCAATCGACTTTTGTACAAAGTCTCCCTCTGGTAAATTTAGGATTATAAGATTTATATGAGGTTTGATGTTTCTATAAATAAGCGGGTAAATGTGTATAAATGTTATTATAACATTTGAGTAAAACAATGCATGCAATTAGACATAAACAGTAACGTGTTTTGCGAAAACAATCATACATAACACAAAATTGTACTCACCAATATTGTGTCACATTATTCAAACATAATTAATTTTTACTTATATTTATTAGTGATTTACACTATTTACACTATTATGCACTATTTACACTATTATGCACCTTTTACACTATTATGCACCTTTTACACTATTATGCACCTTTTACACTATTATGCACTATTTACACTATTATGCACTATTTACACTATGTATTTGTTTATTTTATTATTAATTTGTTGGATCTTAAAATTTTAAAACGCAATTAATATTAATACTTTATTTGAAAAAAATCTAAGTAACGGTACCGTGTGCTCCGGAGTCTTGTTACTATACTGTGTATCAAATCTTTGTCAGTGCATTTTCAGCTTTGCAGCACTGAAACGGCGGAGTATATTGAAATAACATGTATGTAAACATCTATATTAATATTATAAAGAGGAAAGATTTGTATTTTTGTATGTATGTATGTTTGTAATGAATAAATTCAAAAACTACTTTGCCGATTTCAATAATTCTTTCACCATTAGAAAGCTACATTCACCCTGAGTAACATAGACTATATTTATTGCTAGAAAACATTAGGGATCTTTACTAAAAGTTTAGTAACGTAACTCGAGGTGTAAAAAAATGCTATAAACTATCTTTGGACGCGTGCCCTGCGAAAACTATTGGTGATAGAACAAAAGTATGTTACAAAAAACTTCGCGATATATATGTCCAACTGTTATCGTTATGTCACATTTACCAGTTTTTAAAATGTTATAAAAATGTACACCCGTGCGAAGCCGGGACGAACCGCTAGTACTAAATAAAATAGCATTATGTGAACATATAGTTACGTCTGCGCTAACGGAGGCATCAGTGATAGATGTTAGGTGAGATTGAAAAGCCAGGTCAGTTAGTCCATCGTGATGGATACACCTCGAATCTATTAATATATCTTACCAGAGGAAGACTTTGTACAAAGGTCGTTTGCTTAGGTACCTCTGTCCCATTCGTGTTCCTACCGTGAAGCAGTTGTGTTTTAATTGCTGTGTTTCGGTTTGAAGGGTGGGATATGACAGTGAATTTACATGGTACAGAGGAATAACACCTGAGTCCTCAGGAATGGCAACGCATGTGGAGTATCATGGGCAAAACAGTTATGTCCACGGTACTTCCTGTGTCTATAGGCGACGGTTACCACTTTCCATCAGGTGGGCCGTTAGCTTGTATGTCATTCTAAGTTGCATAAAAAAAAACTCATAATAATTAGGAAATTAGCATGATAGATTTGACAGGGTATATTGCTAGCATTAGGCCTGGTAGTCCGGGTTACTAACAATCCCTTCCCTCCAGTGTGATATGTCTAGGTTGACAAGTGATTATACGCTAACTTTGTCATCCGATGGGTAAATTGTATTATTCTTAAACAAAAATCAATAATTAATTAGACAGTGCAATAAAGAATGTAATTCAATAGGTGCATTATGTAGCGCGCAGATAAGGGAGAAAACGTACGCAACGCCGCGCGGCAGGCACGTGTCGTGTCGCGCGACTAAAGTGCGAGCCACACTGAGAGCTTAGCTAAGCGACACTTAGTTTAGCTTAGCTCATTGGCTAAGTATACATCCGAATACGAGAGTTACGTAAACCTATGTATTTATATATGTAGCTTTGCGTACATAGTCATTATAGATGTCGCGTAAGGTAATTCTAGTGTTAAAAATTTAAGGTCGTTTTTGTGATACACATTGTCGACAGATTTAGTTCGGGATGTGACTTACTGGTCAACTTTGCGTACTATCGTAACATGAAGCAAGTGACAATACGTTTTGAATGAACCAAACATGAATTTGAAATTCAGAGGTCTATATTGCGTTCTTAAGATTTTTTTTATACAACTTAGAATGGCAAACAAGCTGACGGCCCACCTGATGGAAAGTGGTAACCGTCGCCTATAGACATGAGCAGTACCATGGACATACAGAGTATACTGTTTCGCCCATGATACCCCCCATGTGTTGTCATTCCTAAGGACTCAGGTGTTATTCCTCTGTACCCTGTAAATTCACGCCATATCCCATTCTTCAAACTGAAACACAGCCATGTAAACACAACTGCTTCACGGTTGAAACACGAATGGGACAGAGGTACCCAAGCAAACGACTTTTGTACAAAGTCTCCCTCTGGTAACCTAAATGGAGATATTTGCGTAGCTTAGCTCGTAGTGTGCCCGTAGCTTTACGCGCGGACCCAATGTTTAATGTTTATGGGTTTTTCTATACCCGAGGGGTGGCATATAATGAAAAACATCTACACTCTTGATGCGCATTTTAAACAAAAAAAAAACTTTTTTTGTTTAAACTAAAACGGATTTTTATTTAATATATAACTATAAAAATGCATTAACAGATTTCCTTTTTGTTGGAAAATTGTACGTATGTGCTCTCGTGTGTTGTTGGCATCCATAGAATACGGTACCCATTTACTATCAGACGGGCCTTATACTTAATTGACTACCATGGCCTAAAAAATATTTGACAATTTATTTATTTGAATTAAGTCGAGTATTAAATTTTTTATTTAAAAAAATAATAATTGCAAATACACAATTTGTTACAAATTCAAAAATATGCTGTTACAGTCGTCCATAGGCTACGGTAACTTTGTCTACCATCAGACGGGCTGTATGCTTGTTTGCCACCATAGTAGTATAAAAAAATATTTTTTGTTTTATTATAATATACATATATTTATCAATTCTGATGTATTTTTATATTGTATTCGATGGGGCTAATATACGTATATTTTATTTAATACATTTACATAAGTTCCAAATATTTTAAGAAAATATACTTTATTATGAATAAAATAATCGATCGACGATTGGAGCTGTTTATTTTTTGTGGTACAGACTGTGAAATTATAAAAAATCTTTTGTTCAGTTATCAAGGTCGACTCGTCGACTCCACCCGTCCCCCTGTGCCGTAGTAGTCGCCAAATGAATGAACGCACCGAGCGAGGGGTGCGCCCCGTCCGCCGGACACACGGGGTGAACTCTGCTGGCTACCACGACCGCTCGCTCTTGATACTTGTCCTTACTTTTGTAAAAAAATATATTAAATATGTTATACTAGCTGTATCCCGCGACTATACTCACGTGATTATATATAAAGCATTCTATGTGTTAAATTACAATGTAACCAATCCATTTATCAATTTTCATTCAAATCCGTTCAGTGATTTTTGCGTTTTTTTTTATACATCTTAGAATGGCAAACAAGCTGACGGCCCACCTGATGGAAAGTGGTAACCGTCGCCTATAGACATGAGCAGTACCATGGACATAACAGAGTATATGATACCCCCATGATACCCCCCATGCGTTGCCATCCCTGAGGACTTCAGGCGTTATTCATCTGTACCCAGTAAATTCACGCATTTCAAATCACAAAGATTCATCCATTTATCGTTACAACCAATCACATTTATAATATTAATTAGATATGGCTACCATTGCAGATTATAGTTTAAGGTATTTTTTAATGGGTGATAATGGAATGGTAACCCCACCCGCGCTATCGGTATACACTGGCGGGGCACCAGTGAGGGGTGATAGGTGAGGATGAAGCAGGTCAGTTAGTCCATCGTGACGAATTCAATAAAAATTATTCACGATGGTTTCCAGGGGGAACCACGTGGTGGTCGACCTGATAGGGTATATTGCTGGTAATGGGGCTGTCAAACTTCATTACCAACATTCCCTTTCCCCCCAGTTTAAGGTATTTGTTGAGTGTTGCTTTTTATGGAGATTTTTAATACTAAAAAAATCGTGTTTTATACAATTGAATTTACATAAACTCCCAGGATTTGTTAATAAACACTTTAAAAAATCAACACAGCCATATAATTATGTAAAAGCTTTTTATACATTAAACTGAATTAAAGCTTTTCGCTAAATTATAGTCATATTTACATACATTAACATTTTAATGTATTATAAAACATTACTAGTGAGATAAACAGAAATTAAAATAAATTAAATATGTATCCATCTATAAAGTTTAAACATTAAGAATATTTATATAAATTATGCAAATAATATGTAACTGGAAAGAAATATTAGCAAAAGGCTATTGAAAATAATTATTTAAAAATATTAACTTTAACACGAAAAAAAAAACAAGTAAATATGTTTACAACCGTAATCCTTAATAAGGTAGTCAGAAGCATTCACTTTTCACACACAGAGGGAGACTTTGTACAAAAGTCGATTGCTTGGGTACCTCTGTCCCATTCGTGTTTCAACCGTGAAGCAGTTATTTTTGTATGGCTGTGTTTCGGTTTGAAGGATGGGATATGTCGTGAATTTACTAGGTACAGAGGAATAACACCTAAGTCCTCAGGAATGGCAATGCATTGGGGGTATCATGGGCGAAACAGTATACTCTGTTATGTCCATGGTACTGCTCATGTCTCTAGGCGACGGTTACCACTTTCCATCAGGTGGCCGTCAGCTTGTTTGCCATTCTAAGTTGTATAAAAAAAAAATTGTCAGACTATTCTCTTTATAGAGAACGTAATATTCAAATTATATTTATTATAATAAAGGCCTATAACATTTTAATCATATATTTATTGTTAATAAAATAGTCGGATCCTAATAAAACTCGCCGTGTGGTCCCGGCATAGAATAGGCCACCCCTTCCATTCCCATGGGTATCATAAGAGGCGACTAAGAAAGGACGAAGAATGAACAGCCAGTGTCTCTCATAAAATATCTCTAAAAGCATACTGCGGTTGCCAACCCGCCAGCCAAGCGTGGCAACTACTGGCAAAACTCCCCCTTATGGGGAAGACTTATGTTCAACAGTAGACAGTGAACGTTAGAAATAAAAATAATAAATCTGTTCAATTTTTAATAGCAATAATACACATCAATAATAACATTGATGTTTATGCAAAAACACGTTCACTAACATTGCTATGGCCGGCAAGGATCAAGAATATTAAAACTCTTATAGGAATTTTACGATCGCGCCCCGACTGCACGCGGTAAGGTTAGGTTAGTTTGCAACGTGGCCGCCTAGACGCGCCACCTCGCGCGATATGAAATTAAAAAAAAACGAACATTTGAATATCGAATCCCGTTCTAAAAGCAAATAAGTCGTTTATGTACATAGCTGTACTCAGTGTGTCCGTGGCTTCAGTGATTGTGACAGATCGATTTTGACAGTTGAGCTGTCAAAATTTGGACGTAAATAAGAGGTTGTTCTCATTGGAATTGTAAAATGCAACTTGTTGTTTTTAAGGTCCATTTTCTAATTAGAAACTGTAGATGTAGTTATTATATTCTGTCTTTTTGACTCTATCACTAATGTAGTTATTTTTAATCTGTGAAAATTATGTTAAGAAAAGTTTTACTTAGTCCACCACTGCATCTAATGGCTAATAATAATATTTACGTTTATACATAGTATAACTCTATTGTATCATTCCATAAGGATTTATAGTAATATATTGAAAATCTTTTCCACAAGGCGTCTGTCTGTCTGTTCAAATTATATAAAGTGTTGTGCACACGAGTGCAGTGTTTACAAACAGCGGTACATCGATTTCACATAAACTTGTAGAGGGTGAGGCGGTCCGAGGGGAGAGCGGAAGCGGAGTTTACGAGCGGGGAAACTTCAGTTTGATGAAGTTTCGCATTGCATTGCTATTATGCTTGCTATTATATATCATTGTCATCATATCAGCTTTTAACTGTCCACTGCTGAACATAAATCTCTCCCTAGGGGGGTTTTGTCAGTATCTGTCACGGTTGGCAGGCGTATTGGCAACCGTAGTTAGAGATGTTTTAAGAGGCATCACCGGCCCAGCCCTCGCCCTCCCTTAGTCGTCTCTTACGACTCCCACGGGAATGGAAAGGCCACTCTAGGCCAGAACCGCATAGAAATTATACAATATCTATTATAGATAGATAGATAGATACTCTTTATTGTTTCCTCCAAAAGATTACAATAGTAAACTTATTATAAATATAAATAATTACAAGAAATAATTACAAGAAATAATCACAACGAGAAAACAATGGGCGACCTTATCGCTAAGAGCGATCTCTTCCAGGCAACCTTTGCATGGAGAGGATTAATTATAAACAGTTTGGTGGGAGGCACGATGAAAAATTTTGTTAGTTCTAAATATAAATTATAAATATTATACTACTGTTATATATTATGTCTTCCACAATTACATAATTACTATATTAGTATAATTACTATATAGTTTTAGTTTAACTAGTAGCTTTTTTAGGAGAAATCTAGAGCCAAATAGTTAAGGTTTTTTATTTCTAAATTATAGACAGTTTAGTTCCGTAGTGGTAGATTTATGTTTCTAAATGTATTATTCTTATTTACTAATTAACTAACATTATAAATTGCTGACTCTATAAAAATGAAAATTTGCTAATTTTGTATGTATTTATAAATGATTTTTGGAAATTCCTGTAAGAATGAGGTCTACGGGTTCACGCCGACTAATGTAAACACAACTATTAAAATATATCAATTATCTTGAATTTAACATTTACAATAGTCTTTTTCTTTGATCCGTGACGACCTCAAATGCATTGCAGGGTGTCAGTGGATATAGGTGGCTTAGGACCGTGTCTTATGGCATTCTATGGGGGAGAACTATGTTCAGCAATAAACAGATAATGGCTGAGATTATAATAATGAAAAGGCCCTTTCTATATTATATCCATACTAAATAGACCAATATTTTATAATTAGAATTACAAAGAAGTATTATTTAATGTATTAAAATGTCATATGTTAATACTTAGAAAAAACCTCATTACATTTGGATTGCAAAAAAATTATTTATTTATAATATATATACATGTTTTTGGTTAGTATTACAGATTTATTAATACACTCACCAAAAATCAAAAATAGAACATTATAATAATACAAATAATAATTAATTAATGGCAAAAAAAATATCAGACATTCCAATCCACATTCCCAATTTTGGAATCAAATAACAACGATGGGGCTCACGTAAACATTTTGATTTTTATTCGATTTCCTTTCGATGCGAGCGTTTCAAAGTTCAGGCGGTTGTCTGTGCGATCGCGTTTTCTTATCCACCAAGTCGCGGGTGCTACGTTTGTAAGTGGCTCGTCTGGCGGCGCAGCGCCTGTGTGCATTGGACTTTACTATGAGTCACGCTGCGGCGGAGCTATTCCGAAATGGTAGGAGTTTGTCTCTGACATTATAAATTATGTATTTACTATGTATTGTATCTATCGATCGTGCGGTTAGAATATCGGACATTGCAGGATTACAGGTTCAGTTCTTGTAAGAAATTTATTTTTTACACAATACACTTTAAGCACACCACTGTGTTGGTCAGGTTATTCAAACATTATTGTTATTATTAGGACCCCGCGGGTTGGCGAGGCTCGTGCTGAAAATCAGCGCTGTAGTGTCCCTGATACTACAGCATAATGCTGAGCATGGACCTCATTTTGCAGGTATTGCGACGCACGCACACATACACTCATTTTGGATGAAACTGTTACAGTACGAATTGTTTTATTTTTCTTTTTTAATTTTATATTCTTTTATATATATATATAAATATTTTGTGCGTTGTTTCTTTATTATAATTCTTAATATATGAATTTTTTTTAACCCCTGTGTGGGTGTTGTCGCATATTTCTGTAAAATAAAGTTTCTTTCTTTTTCTTCTTTCAAATTTAATGCAACCTATTCGTGTTTGTGACGTCGCCTACGCGGTGGATGCTTACAATTTTAGCGACTCTTCCGTTTCCTTTCTGGCGTTGTGCTTTTTACAATACACTAGGAATGAAAAGGAGAGATGATGTGTTACCACTATTCTTCTCGTATCTACAGTGAGACTGTGTCGCCTTTTCATGAAACGAAGAATTATTGAAAATTGAAATAAGTATAAAAATTTCATAAAGAGAGACTGAATCTATAAAATTACACTAAGAAAGAGTTTTTAGACATCTTTCAAAACCGATTTCAAATTTTTTTTATACAACTACTAAGTTGTATAAAAAAAATTTGGCAAACAAGCTGACGGCCCACCTGATAGAAAGTGGTAACCGTGGCCCATAGACATGCACATAACAGAGCATACTGTTTCGCCCCCCATGTGTTGCCATTCCTGAAGACTCAGATGTTATTCCTCTGTACCCTGTAAATTCACACCATATCCCACCCTTCAAACCGAAACACAGCCATGCAAACACAACTGTTTTACGGTTGAAACATGACTGGGCCAGAGGTGGCCAAGCAAACGACTTTTGTACAAAGTCTCCTTCTGGTATAGTAATGAAATATGTTTAACTTACATTAAAATTAATGAATAATTTTAATAATAATTATCAATTTCGCAGACATTTATATAAAATAACGTAATATTTAGAAATTTTGTTTTGTTTTTTATTTAACTTTCTTTATGTTTATGTTTATTTTTATGTTTAAATTTTTCACTAATAATAATAAAAACCGAATGGCTTTATTGCAGTCGCATTTATTATTGGATCACGCTGTGTGCACATGTTGTGGCAAGTTTACCTGATACCCATTATGTACTTGCATATTATAATTTAAGTTTTTATTTGTAAACTTCTGTTATGTGCGCCTAATAAATAAAATAAAATAAAATATGAACATTTTTCCTCAATCAATCTTGTGAATAATAATATCGGTACAAAGAGCAATCGATCATGAAGATAAATTTAGCGCTGAAATCAGTGGATGCAATAGAATAGCAATAAATCAGCACGCTTGCAATGGATAGCTTATTGACAGTAATTTGATTGTCTGTATTGATTCATCTATTTTTGCAACCTTGTCTGTTATTTAGTCGAATGGCGGGTAATAACTGATAAAATAGCAGTCGTGTCTGAACAATAATATTTAGTTCTTTATGAAAGTTGGTACAACTATAATTAACTAGTTGGTTTATTTAAAAATACCAATTATGTACCTAATTTACAGCACACTTGTACGACCTCTGGTGTTGTGGGCGGTAGTCACTTACCATCAGCCGTCACCTGATGACGGCTGATGGTGACGGCTCACCTGATGATAAGTGACTACCGCCGTCCATGTTCATTGACAATACCAGAGGCATTGCAGGTATACTGCCGGCCTTTTAAAAAGGAATATGCTCTTTTCTTGAAGGTTATGATGTCGTATCAGTTATTGTTATTAATTATTGTTTAAGAAGTAGGAATATGTTTAGAACCTACAATAATATATATGGCCAATTATATGTTTTAGAAATAATGTAAATTGTTGTAAAAAAAAAATGAATACCAGAATGTATTTTACTAGATTTGGAAGGGACTTCTGAAAGAAGAGAACAAGGACTCAATTCGCCTGTATTTTTTTATATCATTTTATAATATTTTCATACGAATATTCTATAAAAAAAATTACAAAAATTTTTGAAACCCATATCAAAATCTGTAGTGTGGTTTAGAAGAAATAAGCGGAGAAACAGATGTACAGAAGCAACTTTACATTTAGAGATTAAAATGTTTCACTTAACTTCAGCACAGATGCAAAAATGCACTCTCTAATTTTATCAATACAAAACGGTGTAGACTAGCTCTAAATTAGGGGATCTCACCCCTTCGTGGAGGATTTAAATCAATTTGCACCTTATCTTGTGGTAGGTAGGTGCATTGTTAATTGTTTAGCTGGCGTGTTTTGATTCAACACTTTGATAATACAGTGTAACATACTATAAATGTTACTGTGTACAATAAATGATTAGAATTTTTAATTAAAAATGAAATTCATTTGTTTATGTACTTTATTGTACACGAAAATTATATTGTTATAGGTAGTTTCTTTTGTCAAAGATGTACAACAGGCGAGCTTAACTCTGTAACAGCTCTCTTCCAGCGGACCCTGAGTGAAATATGTTTAATATGTTTATTTTTTTAATAAAAAACTATCTATTTGGACAAAATTAGAATAAAATTATTATAAATGAATTAAACAGTTATAATAATAACAAAATAATTTTACCACGTCTGAATTCGCAGTGTCTTAGTTAATATATGGGACACGTGAATACCCAATACAATTAAATAAAAATACAAATATTTTTTTTGATTGAAAAGTGGCACAAAATGGTAATATTTAAATATTGTTCACACTTTTCACCAGAATTTAGCGCACACAATTTATTTTATTGTGCTATGCTATGCACACAGAACAAAACCGAATGTCGTAATACAAGTATATACTTACATAAAAACATAAGTGACTTCAAAACCCAGTTATTTTAGAAGTCGTTTAAAAATAAAACTAGCTAGCTCCTCCATAACTCGTTCACTATTCCCGTTTTATAGGCCATTTGAACAGTACAAGTTTTCTTAATTATACAATAGGTACCTACTTGTACAACAATTAGTCCATTACCCTAAGGTCGTCTCGAAAAGATTGCTCTCAGCAATAAGACCGCCTTACTGTACTTATACAATTGTATCGTTGTGTTTGTAAATTGGCTTATTACCTATATTGTATAATGCAAATAAAGTATACTCATTCATTCTATTACAAGTTCGTTATATATATATATATATATATATATATATATATATATATATATATATATATATATAATGGGTGAAAATGAAATGGTAACCCTGCCTGCTCTGTCGGTATACGCTGGCAGGGCACCAGTGATTGATGATAGGTGAGCATGAAGGCAGGTTAGTTGACCAATAGTGATCTATTGGACAATAATCAACCACTATGGTTTCCAGGGGGAACCGCGTGAAGGTCGACCTGATAGGGTATATTGCTAGCAATGGGGTTATTAAATCTTATTATTAACAATCCCTTTCCCCCCGATGTTTGTTATATTTGTCTGTATGTAAGTTTATCTCCAGAGTGCAGTGTGCAGTACGTAGCTGTACCCAGTAATCTTGATACTCCATAAATCACCGGCACAATAAAGGGGGCATTCCCTCGCCGGCTACTCAACCAGGTTTAGGAGTGATCACACGACCGAATAGGTAGTTAATCAATATTATTGATAAACTATACCACTTATAGATGTTTCATAATATTCATACAGTTATGTGAAAGAAAGAAAAATAACGTTTTTTTTTGTTAAATCTATGCACCGCCGTTTACTCTCTCTGTTTATCGTAACGGTTGACTGGTAGAGAATACCATCAGACAGTAAGTCCGCCCTGTACACATATTCTAATGTGTGCAAAAGTATAAATAAAAAGAACGTTTATTGCCAACAGTAAAATAATATTTTATTTATTGACAGTTGTAAAAATGTATAGTAATAATAAAAAGAAAACATTTATTTCATCATCATCACCATATCAGCTTTTAACTAATCACTACTGAATATAAGTGTCTTTGGGAGCCTTTGCCAGTAGTTGCCACGCTTGGCAGGTGATGGTTGACTTTAAAGATGTTTTAAGAGGGACGCTGTTACACATCCTTCCACCATAGGGGGGAAAGGGTTAGTAATAGGTAATAAAAGCCCCATTGTGAGCAATATACCGTATCAGGTCGACCTCCACGCGGTTCCCCCTGAAAACCATCGTGATTAATTCTTATCAAATTCTTCACGATGGGTCAACTGACCTGCATTCATCTTCACCTATCATCTACAACTGGTGCCACGCCAGCGTATACTGATAGCGCAAGCGGGGTATACCATTCCATTTTCACTCAAAAAAAAAAAATTAAAAAACCAAATACTCCCTAAGTCTCCTCTTATGACACCTATGGGAAAGGAAGGGGTGTCCCTTTCTATGCCGGGACCACACGGCTATTTGATAGTCAAGCACAACCATATCATCCAAATAAATTGAGCCCGATTCCTCTCCACGCCTTTTCCCGTTTTCAGATGCATTGAACATTTCAATAGTACGCGAGACAAATACATCTGCAGTGTACACGTGTGAGCGAGACCGCCTATTTGCAAGGGGCGTTGCAACGGCACTTACGATAAATTGATGAAATAAATTATCATTAAGCAGAATGGAAAATTATACAACGCGAATACAATGCGGGGTTGTTTGAGGATAAATATTTTTGAGTGTTAGTCGCCGATCCGGGCTTTATCAGCCTTTTTAGTTTATTACCTAGTCACTAAAGATTATTTTTAGAATTTACAATATTTATTTACTAGAGGGAGACTTTGTACAAAAGTCGATTGCTTGGGTACCTCTGTCCCATTCGTGTTTCAACCGTGAAGCAGCTGCATGGCTGTGTTTCGGTTTGAAGGGTGGGATATGGCGTGAATTTACTGGGTACAGAGGAATAACACCTGAGTCCTCAGGAATGTCAACGCATGGGGGGTATCATGGGCGAAAGAGTATACTCTGTTATGTCCATGGTACTGCTCATGTCTATAGGCGACGGTTACCACTTTACATCAGGTGGGCCGTCAGCTTGTTTGCCATTCTGAGTTGTATAAAAAAAAAAAAAATTATCCATTGCAAATTTTTAAAATAAACAATGGAATTAAAAGTAATGAATGGTCTTGCTCTCCCGTGTGGTC